AGCATGCGGTGGAGACCAGAGGTTTTCCGTGGGAGATCATGCATTTGTTCAACAAGTCAGTGTCTGTTGCGAAATATGTGACACATTGAACCCCTGCGTTGGATCATTCGCACTATCGTACCGCAGCCCTGAAATCAAGGGGAAAAGAAAGAGTTTCATGGTAGCGGAGCTTGCTTCGGCGGCTCCGAGGCTCCCTAGAATTAGGACCCCGAGCCTGAAGGCCAATCTAGTTTCACCGTATAAGAGCCTTTTGTTTTTCTTCATTGGCTGCAGTTTACTCTGCCCACTGACTACCGTAAGTCCCCCTGGAGCTGGGGCGGGTCCGCACGCCGTTCCGGCATTTTACAGTTTTGGTGGGCAAAGTGGGAAGAAGTTTTTCGGAGGAGACAGGAGGCCTGGCAAGTTACAACTGGTTGGGCCGTTGGTACAGAGGAAGCTGGAAGCAGAGTTTCAACTTTGTGGTCCTGTGCTTGGTGAGATGGATGGTGCAAATGGAGAAGCGCAGCAACAAGCACAGCTGCAGGCACAACAGCAGGCGCAACAGCAAGCACAGCTACAGGCACAACAGCAAGCCCAGCAACAGGCACAGCTACAGGCGCAACAGCAAGCACAGCAGCAGTCGCAGCAGCCAAGTGGGAGCCAAGGAGCTGGGCCGGAGATGATCGACCGTTTGGTCCGGCAAAGAATGAATGAGGCCTTTGGGGCCGTGTTTGGGAGGCTTCTTGAGACGAGCGAGAAGGCGGCCCAGGCCGCACACCAGAACATGACCTACCAGAAGGGCGAGAACTTAGCAAGGGTCTGAAGGCGGACCAGTGGAAGCCAGCAAACAGAGAAGAAGAGCTGAGGACGTGGAGGGAATGGTACTTCACCTTCACGAACTACCTGGTCGCGAACGACCCGGAGTTTGAGGAGGACCTTCGGAACTTGGACCTGGACACGGTGGTGTCCCACGAGCTTCTTCCAGATGATGTGGTCAGTCGCAGCCAGCGGCTGTACGGGCTCCTCTGCTCACTGCTTCGTGGCCGGCCGCTGCTCCTCATAAAGAACCTCGACAGCACGAAGTGTGGATATGAAGCAATCAGGCGGCTGAAGAATGAGATGGAGCCGCGGGAGAAAGCCCGAAGCCTGGCTTTACTTCGAAGCTTGGCAAGCTGGAGGTTTGATGGGACGGCGGGCCTTCACGAGCAGCTGGTGAAGTACGAGGAGGCCTTGAGGACCTACGAGCTAGCATCGCAAAAGACTTTTCCGGAGGACTTGGTGCTGGCGACGGTCCTCACTGGGATGAAGGAGCCGCTGAGGTCGCAACTTCAGCTTCGGATGGGGCCTGGAACAAAGTACAGCGAAGTCAGGGAATGGATTCTCCAATGGGAGAGTCTGAACACACCTTGGGCGACAACAACCCCAGGAGGAAAGGGAGGCGGCCGAGATGATGGTGGAGCTCGGCCCATGGACGTGGACAGAGTAGAGGACAAAGGAAAGGGAAAAGGAAAGGACGGAAAGGGCAAAGGAAAAGGCAAAGGAAAGGACGGCAAGGGAAAAGGAAAAGGAAAGGGAAAGGACAGCAAAGGAGGAGGCGTCGGCAAGGGCAACTACGGCAACTACGGCGGCAAAGGTTGGAACCAAGGATCTGGAGGCAGCTGGGCCGGCAACTGGGACAGCGAAGCTTGCCGCATCTGCGGGAAGCGTGGACACTGGAAGTGGGAATGCCCACAGGCCAAAGGAAATGGCTGGGGAAAGCAAGGCGGCAAAGGAAAAGGAAAGAAGGGCGACAAGGTGCAGCAAGTGGAACAGAGCGGTGCCGCTTCGGTGGCCGGCTCTACGACTACTTCCTCGACGTCTTTGCCTCCTTCGGCCTCAGTCTACCGTGGGAGCACAGCCTCAGTGAACTTGGTTGCCGTGGCTTTGGAAAGCGCAGAAGCAAGCTGCCAAAGGACCACAGAAGTCTTCGACCTGACAGAGCTTGATGACGAGTATGAGGGGGAGTTTGGTTTGGAGCCGGGCGACGTGATGATGATTCGGGCCATGGCTGAGGAGGAGCAAGGGAACTCCGATGCCGAACATGAGGTGCTTGCGGGTCTCTACGGTGGCCTGCAGGATGAGGAGGACTCCTTTGTGAATTTCTCGGGGGTCCCGGTCTACGCCATGGACGCAACGGACGGTGATGAGCGGTGGGATGTTGAGCCCGGCCTCGACCAAGCCCCTTTGCAGGTGAACGCCGTCACAAGAGCAAAAGAAGTGGAGGTTGTGATTGACTCCGGTGCCAGTGGCCCCCCTTTCGGTGGCAGCCTATGGAAAAGCAACCCAGTCAGTGGGTGTTCGCATGCAGGACGCCCAGGGGAAGATGATCAAAGAGCGTGGGTGCCGGGTGATCGACGTGATGATGAAGACGGCTGCCGGCGAGGAAGTGATGGTTCGCGAGCGTTTTGCCATAGCGAAAATTGGCTCAATGATCATGTCGGTGGGCCGGCTCCTCAGATGGGGGTGGCAACTTGGACACCATAACGGCGGCCCTGTGATCGAGAAGGACGCGCACAAGGTGCCGATCACGCTGAGGAGGAATACCTTGACGGTGCCGGCGGTGATTGCAGCTGTTATGGTTGGGCCTCTTCTCCAAGGCCAAGCCCCAGCACGAGTGCAGCCCCTTAGCACGTATGATGATCTGGGGCGTTTTCCCAAGGAGGTGGAGGACTTAGTGGCAAGACCTGGCTGGAGCATTTTGCCAAGCGGCCTGCCTTTGCTGACGATCCACAAGACCGAGAACTTGAATCTGGAGCAGTCGCTGTGGGAGGCAGACGATTGGAGCTGGATCGCGGTCTTTGTGCGGTTGGAAGAGGCAACTCGTGCCCCTGAGCCAGGCGATGTCTGGGTGCAGCTCCTTACCTTGAAGAGCCAGGACTATGAGGGCGTGTCGCAAAAGATTGTGGAGCTGGACGAGGACCTGGGCGGCCAGCGTGACGTTGCAGTTCTTTTCCATGTGGATGAGTTGCCGAAAGACCTCCTTAGCAACCCTCGGGATATCTTTTGCGAGGCCCCACACGAGGAGGACATGCCACCAGCCCCTTTGGGAGACGATGGAGGCGGGGCCCTTCTTGGAGATGAGCCCTTGGATGTGGAGTTCGAGGGCCAGACCCAGGAGCCTGAGGAAGTCGAAGGTGAAAGCCTCGAAGGGGTGAAGCTCAACGTCGAAACTCCTCTCAAGAAGCTGAAGGAGCTCTGTGATAGTCTGGGCCTCTCCCGGAGCGGGGGAAAGAACAAAGTCTTGGCCCGCCTTCGGCAGCAAAGAGAGATCTTGGAGAGGAGAATGACAACGGAGGTGGCAAGGAAGATGTATCTTGAGGGCAACCGCGACCCGGACATCCCAAGGACACCCATATTGCCGTCAGCTCGCCAGCAAGAGCTGCACAGCATCACGCACCAGCCTTTCCAAAGCTGGTGTGAACACTGTGTGCTCAGCAGAAGCAAGCAGTCGCCACGCAGGCCCGGCCAACAGGAGGTGGAGCAGAAAGTGCCAGAGGAGGTCCGAGTCGACCCTGTGATCCAGATCGATTACTGCTTCACCTTTACAAAGCTGAAGCACGAGGTTGCTCCTGAAGAGGGGCAAGTTGTGGAACCTGATGCTCCCGAGGCACCAGGAAGCACCAGCAGAGGCCGCGGAGGAAGCACAGCAAGCAGCAGCAATGGCAGAGCAACCCGGGCCCAGAGAGGCAGAGGATCGACGAGATCAATATGGTCTGTGCTTGGTGGCGGCTGAGAGCACCACCGGGGGTCACAGCGATCCCGGTGCTCGAAAAAGGCGCTGGCTCGCTCAAGCGGGTCACAGAACAGCTTGTTCGCCTGTCGCTTCAGGTGAGTCCCGGCGACGCGGTCACAGTGCAGGGAGATCCTGAGCCCTCGATCAAACAGGTGCTCAACGCAGTCGAGATGTGCAGGGCCCGCCTGGGCCTTAAGACGACGCAGCGGCTCATCGAGCAGGGGTCGCATCAGTCCAATGGACAGGCCGAGAAAGCCATCGACAACATCCGGCGAAACGGCCTCACGCTGAAGTCCTTCCTCGAGGACCGGATCAAGGCCAAGGTTGATGGTGATCGGCATGTCTATGCGTGGCTGTTGAGACACGCAAGCTACATCATGAATCGCTTTGCGGTGGGCGTCAGAGGAGCAACGAGCTTTGAAGTTATGTTTGGGAGAAAGTACAAGGGCAAGCTGGTGGCGTTTGGGGAACAAGTTATCTTCCACAGGCCCACGAAACACCGTCGGGAGCTTCAATGGATGAAAGGGGTGTTCCTGGGGATCAATGAGCGGAATCATGCGTTCATCCTCGGCACCCCGGACGGAGCAGTCGAGAGCCGCAGCATACGGAGGCTTCCGGCCGAGCAGCAGTGGAACGCGACGGCAGTCTTGACGATGAAAGGGCTGCCTTGGAACTAGTTGGGCCGAGGCCGAAGGAAGAGAGCTCTTTACACACAACGTGTTCCCCTACTACCTGACTCAGCGACGCTAGACCAGCTAGCTAAAGCCGCGGGCCAGGCCGCAGCCGAGGCAATTGCGGCGGCGACCCCAGGACGAGCACCGCCAAGAGGAGACGAAGCAGCGAGCGACCCACCGTCACCAACGAGTTCGGGATCTTCTACCTCAACGTCCGGGACAAGCGCAGGTGCAGAGCAGCGGCAGCAGGAACAACAGAACACACAGCAGCAGGAATCCGAAGAGCAGTCACAAGCATCTGGTCCAATGGCAGTTGATGTTGGGGCAGAGCAGCGTCAGCAGGAACAGCAGAACACACAGCAGGAATCCGGAGAGCAGTCACAAGCATCTGGTCCCAGTAACATGGTGGATGTTGGCAGGAACCCTGTGGCTGAAGCGTCCCGAGCCGATGGAGGTGGTCCCCAGAAGCGAGCAAGGCTTTTGCTAGACAGGCCCGCAGTAGCACCAGTCACGCCAGCAGGTTCAGAGACAACAGCACAGCTCTACCCACCAACCTTTGCAGGTGTGCGGCGTGTGCATGGTGACATCCTCCCGCAGGACCTCTGTGACTTCGATGCATGGCCAGAGGATCTCAAGGAGGACCTAGCAGAAGCGTGGGAGGAAAAGATTGATGATGGAGCCGCGTGGTGGGATGATGAGGGGGAGGAGCCGCCCAACCTCACCGAGGAGGAGCTCAAGGCAATCGACAAAGAAGCTGACAAGACCGAGGTCAACCGCCTCATCTCCATGGGGGTTGCCCGGTGGCCAAAGCCGGGAGAAGACTTGTCAGGGCACTCACTTCTCACAACAAAAGTGGTGCGCGATTGGCGGCAAAGACCCAAGTGGGTGAGGAGAAGTCGGTTGGTCGGAAGAGAGTACCGTTCTCTCTCAGCCTGGACGCAGGACCTCTTCGCCCCCTCGACGTCCCTTGCGATCATACATTCGTTCATTTGCTACAGCCTCTCCCAGGAGCTCAAGCTCTACACATGCGACGTCAAGGATGCCTACCTCAACGTACCTCAACCAACACCCGTCCTGATCCAGGTCGACAAGAGCATCTTTGGAGAAGGAGAAGAAGGATATGTGGTGTTGGTCCTCGAGAGGCTTTTGCCTGGACAAAGGGCAGGGGCAAGTGGGTGGTACAACTTTGCCAAGGACGTCCTCAACGAGGCGGGGCTAGAGCATTTTGCCAAGGAGCCCACACTCTTCAAGACAACCGAGCCCAATGAGAAGACCGCCCTCTTGCTCCACGCCGACGATGGGCTTCTTGCAGCGACAGAAGCTCAGAAGGCGAAGTTTGAGGAAAAGGTTGGTAGCAAGGTGACTTTGCAGATGAGCGAGCCCCTGGCCGAGGTTGGAGATGAGATAAGTTTCCTTAAGCGGCGCTATGTCAAGACCAACGAGGGTGTGATTGTGTATGCCAATGGGAAGTACTTGGAGGCCCTGATCGGGGCCCTTGGCCCAAACTTGAAGAAGCGAGACAGCCCAAGTGACCACAGCTTTTTGGAGCCAGACACAAGCAAAGAGCTGGGAGTTGCTGAGGCCAAGCTCTTCAAGGAGTGCGTGGGGAGGCTGATGTATTTAGCCCACTCAAGGCCAGACGTGCAGTTTCCTGTTTGCATCCTCGGGTCAAAGATGAGTGCACCAACAGCAATGGCGATGAAATGGTTGCAGAGAGTTGTTGGATATTTGGCCAACACTCCGGAGATTGGCTTCTTGCTGAAGCCAGCAAAGCACAACGGCAGCTACGACTATGATGGGGATGGCCACCTCACTAGTGGCTCCACTCTGGTTGTTGATAGCATAACGGACTCCGACTGGGCTGGATGCAAGCGAAGCCGGAAGTCGCGAACTTCCCCACAGCTGTACGTTTCTGGGAGTTTGGTTGGGAGCGCTGTCCGCTCTCAAAAGGCCATAGCCCTCAGCAGCGGAGAGTCGGAGTTCGTTGCAGTCGTGTCCGGAGCATGTGAATCTCTATACCTGAAGGATTGTCTGTCTTTCCTGACAGGCCCCAGCTGCAATGTGAAGGTGCATTGCCGCACCGACAGCTCAGCTGGGAAGGCGATCACGCAACGCCTAGGATGCGGAAGGGTGCGGCACCTACAGGTTGGGATGTTGTGGATCCAAGCTGCAGTGAAAGCCAAGGAGCTCAGCGTGGGATCCATTCCAGGATCTCAGAATCCTTCGGATCTGGGAACAAAACCCCTCGGTGCCCAACGTGTTCAAGAACTCCTTTGCTTGATGGGTGCCAGGACACCAGACGAGGAGCCCTACGGCGCAGAAGCAAGGGAGGAGGCCGAGCGCAAGCGCGAGATCGCGAACATCGTCAAGGAGATGAAGAGCACAGGCATGCACGTGAGCAGAGTGAAGGCCGTGCTTCCCCTACTTCTCTTTATGGTGCAAGCAACCAGTGTTCAGGGCTTGGGCCTGGCCGCGGGCATTGGAGCAATGGTTCATGAGGAGGCTGTGGCGCAAGTCATTGCCACGGCTGCAATTGGTTTCCTGGGTCTGCTTGGTTTGGTGGGGCTACCTTACAGTGCTTGGAGGGTTCTTGGGTGGCTTTGGCAGTGCAGAGGTTTTCGTGCAACAACTTCAAGCAGAGGAGTGCAGACAAGGCCCCCAGCTCCACCAGTTCCAAAGAGCAGCAATGAGGCCCAGGCAAACTTGGGAATGAGCCGGAGTGAGGAAAGGTTCATGGACGAGTACGTTCGCCGATGCCGTGAGCTTGAGAGCGTAGTGTATGAGAAGTGCCGGGAAGCCGAGCAGTACAGTGAGGAAATCCGTAGGTTGAGACAGGAGAATCGGGAGCTCAATGAGCGTCTCGAGACAGTGCGTGGACGGCGAGTGCCACCACTTGTAAAGGTAGCTTCGAATAGAGGCATCAGATACCACCTGCCCACATGCGGTCATATCCAGAACTCCACAACCAAGAGCTACACTCCGTGTGCAGACTGCATTGGGTAGGTAGGGCTTTTAAGGTGCCTTTAGCGCACAAATTCTTCGGAGGCACTGCAGGAGCCTGAAGACAGGAGGGCACCTGCAGTGAGGCGGGGTGTGACACAGTGAACCCCTGCGTTGGATCATTCGCACTATCGTACCGCAGCCCTGAAATCAAGGGGAAAAGAAAGAGTTTCAAAATATGAGGTTTTTACAGCGAAGAA